AAAATATGGTGGCGACTTCCGACAGTGCTGTCCAGTTCAACAACGTGCCAACAAAAGCGAAATACTCGACCTTTTGATCAAGAGAAGCCATCTGTGGCAACACTTCAAGACTTATTCGCTCGAAAAGAACATGCGCGTTGATCCCGAAGAAGAAGAATTCGCGAAATACCTGCTAAAGCTCGGCGACGGGGAACTCGAAGTGAATGAACTCGGCGAAATAGAAGTCCCAGAAGAAATTCGCTCTGGTGGTAACCTCATCGATGAAATCTTCGGACCATGCCTCAGAAGTGGGAACTACGAAGCAATGAAGAATCGCGCTATTCTTGCACCATTGAACGACGATAAGGACAAGATCAACGAGCAGATTATCGCTATGCTTCCAGGCGAAGAGAAGACATACACAAGTTTCGACTCGGTAAAGGATCAACATGAAGGGGGAATTCAATTCGCGCCTGAATTCCTGAACTCGATCAACATCGCCGACTTGCCTCCACACAATCTGAAGCTCAAGAAGAACGCCATCATCATGCTTCTCCGAAACTTGGACGTCTCTGAAGGAATGTGCAACGGAACACGATTGATTGTCACCGAACTTTGCAACAACATCATCAAGGCTAAGATCATCACCGGTGAACACGCAGGCCGACAAGTACACCTTCCAAGGATCACGCTCGACTCCAGCAAATCACAGCTTGGCGCAACTATGCAACGGCACCAATTCCCAGTTACTCCAGCATTCGCCATTACGATACACAAGTCACAAGGCCAAACATTCGAATTCGTCGGCGTGCTTCTCCTCACGACGGTCTTCGTGCACGGAATGCTCTACGTCGCGTTTTCAAGAGTCAAGCGTCAAAGTGCGTTGAAGGTCCTGCTGCCTCCTGAGAATCCAACCCACACCCGAAACGTCGTATGGAAGGAAGTCCTGAACAAGAGAAACTCACCAGCCGCACCTGCCTCTCCGACAAGAAACTACCTGGACAACATGGAAGACTTCGCAATCGGTCACCCGCTGGTATAACATAAAATCATAGAAGTCTGACTCCGTTTTCCATTGTTGTCGGCGCATTTTTATTGGCCAGAAAATCACGTGGTAGGATCCAGTTTTCCCTCATTCATTTCCATATTGTTTTGGTTGTCATCAGCACAAAATTTTCAATAGTCGTAAAGGTATTGTTTTTCTTTAAATATTTTTGTATCCCTAATTTAAACTTATTTTCCAGTACTGCTATTATTAACGAGAGTATTAAATTATGGTTGTGAACTCATCAGATTTGTTTGAACAATACAATGCTATAAGAATATAAATGTTATTTCAAAAAATTATTACTTCGAAAAATCACTTCCGTTCACCAAGAGATCTAATATTTGGGTAAAGTAATATTTGAGAGTAATATTTGGACGTGGGAAGTAGAGGCACAAGAGTAAGTAAACAGAATTCCTTTTAGTACATATATGTTAAGTGAATAATTTTAACTTTAATAGAAAAATTGTTTTCTGCCAAGAAAAGACAATTATTGCGAAGCAATATTGCAAAGCGGGGTTGGTGAGCTGCAGCGAACAGGGGGCTTAGCCCCCTAGTATTTCTATAAAAATACAAAGTTATTCTAAATAAATACTTAACATGTAATTAACTATTCAACGCCATTTAATACAGCCTAACAGAATTATTCTAAACAATGTAACTAATCTTTTAACACTTCATCAGGCAACCTAACAAAATGAATAATAACTATAGTGTTGGCAATAGATAGAGAAACACCCGAGTTTATGTTGTCACAAAAGAGAAATATATACATAATTAAGTAAAAGTATTGGAATTCCAAAAATATAACGATACAAAGTTGATTAAAGCTTAAACATACTGTGTTAGATCTTGAATATTAAAACATGATTAAAATGAAATTTATCGCATTTTCAATGTTTCCTTTTCGGAAAGTTTCTCATCTGGTAAAACGACGTTGCAACGTGAGATTCCTTTGAAATTTAAATGAACTACAGAAGGATGTAATTTCAACTTCTTACATGCTTTAAAGCATGAACAGAAAATCATATTCAACCAGAAAATCTGGAGCAGGTGGTTCTGTAGTCGTTACCGGAATTGACATATTGTTTTTCATAACACAGCCCATTTCTTGAGATTCAAATAATTAATAACGTAGGTCTGATGTGATGGTTATGATACAGGAAGTAAAGGTTGTTCTCTCCTCAAAGCAAATTCAAATTTGCTTCTTTACTTTTCCTTACTGATTTCGTGAAGCGCATAAATCGATAATTTTCTTTGCCGATGTTTCATTTCGAGTAAAAACGAAGTATAACTTTTTCATAATCCTTTTAAATTTCCTGACTCAAGGGGTAAAATTTGTAAGACGAGTCATGGTTAACCAATCTTTCCCTCACAAAATATAGTTGGATTAAAATTCGTTTCTGAAGTAATGAAGACTGTTTCAAATATCGGAGCGGTCTACAAATATTGCTCCCAAAGAACCACCAAAAGTTTCAAAATTTATTCCTTATTTTTGAAAATTTATCATTAACTTGTCTTGATCACCACAAAGAATTGAAAACTTATTATATATAAAGAAGTCTGATGCATGCTAGATTGTTATTATCTAAATTGAAATGTTTCCGAAATTACGAAAACTTCAAATCACTTTGATGAATAGTTAGTCACCACTTGGATATTTTTGCGGATCTTTGAAAGCCCTGAGACAGCCATACCTTCCAACTACAATGGAATTTTCGTAGTTTCAGGAAAAATTATAATTGTATTAGCAAAGGTAAGATAGCAATATTTTGATAAATTAAAAATGAAAGAATTTTGTCTAACACTGCATGAAAGTAATTTAAACAGATATATTAAAGGTCAGATAAGTAATTATTAAAACATTCAACTATTTCTATTTGTTTTAAAAAAAAATTTTTCGTTAGCTCACTACCACTGTATAAAGTATTTCACAGAAACTTGAAATGTTGAAGAGTATGTAAACAGGTATATTATTTGTTTTAAATATTTCAATTAAATATCAAGGTAATTAAAGAAATCAACTTGTTCAACCTCAATAATTTGTTTTCATTATCGAGGAATTTCTATTGATTCACGGTAGCAATCATGGTTTTATCAAAGATAACATGAACTGGAACTGCTTTAAAACCTTGCCAAAAATGCTCATACTCTTCTGTTTTATGAGTAATAGCAGAGATGCCAACTTGCTTCGGACAGCAAATATATATTTTAAAGTGGTAGTCTATCAATTGGGATTCATGGTTTAATAAATTCAATTTAATAGATTTTTATCCATCACTATTTCTAAATAATTCGTAGGCTAATATAATTCACCACTTTATAGTACTTATGTCATGCTATACCTTTTAAAAAGCAAGCAAAAACAGTCAAATATTTGCAAAATTTACTTTGTAGTTATTTACCGTTTTTTTTAAATTATTCTGACGTGTCCGGAGCAGTTGGCATCTCTGTAGTAGTATAATTGCCCAAAACCAGGACAGAAATGTGACCATATCTTTTCAGAACATTCCTGTCACTAATTACTATGAAAATATCGTTTTGAGGCCGCATCATGAGATGGAATTAAAAAAAATTCTATCAACGACATGATGTGCACTCATAATACTAAGATGAAAGTTTTTAAGTTACAAGCTGTTGAACAAGCATAAAATGTTTCATTTGTCTCAAACCTGTTTCGTCTAAAACAGCCCTTCAGCCAGTTCAACATTTCAAACATTCCCAGCTCTCGTTAACGGATCTTCTCATAGTTAATCCACTGAAACAACAGCAATCATTTAATATTTACAATGTACCACTACGTGACTATTTACTACTAGCAGAGGAAGAACCGAGAATATTTTTAAAAGTGAAAATAATTTAAACTTTTTATGCATCATTGAATAAACAATGTCCGGTTTATCGTAACAGTTTATAACTTTTTAATCAATTATAATCTCTATTGCAATCAACTCTATCAATCTAATATTAGGAAAAGGGTTCGGCAAAACCAATTTTAATCTAGATATTTCAAACCAACAATTAAACATGTGGGAAAAATAATATATTTGAAATATTAATAACTTTGAAATCTGAATACAATAGCTACGGATCACTTAATCTGGCTATTGATGCTAGCTGAACCTACAATTTACAAGCACAGGACCAGACAAGTAAATGTTTATATTCGCATATGGTTTTTTACCCATATCTATTTGATTGTCTAAATTTTTTTAAAAACAAAACAACTTTTGCAGCAAATTTCATCTAAGGGTCTGTGTGCTTAAATAACGTGTTAAATTTAATTTTAAAAAAATTGTGTGCTTACTAGATGTAACTAATAAAAAAAATACTTGGATTAATAACATTAACATAAGGTATAGTTCGCTTACCAGGAGTTGGCACTTGGCTCCGCCTTCATCACGTGGTATCCGATGATTTTTGCTGCAATACTTTTAATTAGCTAGAGTAACGAAAGGTATAATAGCAGATGATAAAGAGAAGTAAGTGACTTAAAAAGAATTCACTGTTTGCGATTGGCGCGCATTAAGGGTTGTCTCAATTTCAAGCGCAGAGACGTTTCTCCTCTTACTCCCTCACTGAAATGAACTCTTCGTCAGAGAAAGTGGAGCCAAGTGCCAACTCCAGGAGAACCAACTATAGTCAATTGTCATTTCTTTAGGCAAAGGAATGAAGCTGGAACTAAATTTAAATGTGATGAAAAATTTAATCATATCAAGGTAATAACATAGGGGGAAAAAAATTTTGTTGTTGTTTTCTATTGCATAAGATTTTTGAAATGATAGATACTTTTGCGTCGCTGATTTCAAATGTGCAATCGGTTTTTCTCTACAAATTACAATTTTTATGCAATTTATTACTAACGTTTTCCGAACCAGGATTTTATAAAATTCACTCGATTGAAAAGTAAGCATCCCCACCTTTCTATTACGTAGGGAGTGGTAGGAAGAAGGCGATAATATATATAAGTTTTTGATTCTATACGTTAAGGTTATATGTCTTTTTTTTGTCTTAAGTGTTATTTTCAAAAGAGCTGACATGTGTATATGCATTTCAATCTATACGTTCTTTGCAAACTTTTACATTTATTAAAAAAATAAACTTAACAAAAAATATCATTTATAAAAATTGTAGCTTTCAGAACAAAACTAATTTTAGATTTAAAATCCCCTCACCCGAATTAGGTAAGATCAAGTATTTGTATAAATACAGAAAAAAAATTATTTCTCAGTGTAATCCATAACAATTTTTTTGTTTAACTTTAAAATAAATTGTCTACAATTTTTTATTAGAAACTGTGCCCACAAGCAGTGTCAATCATATTTTGTCATAAATCAAAACAGGAAAAAAAATTAAAATTCGCCTTTTTCTATCATAGAGTTTTATAACTTACTCAGTTTTTGCGTTTAGAAATCTCTTAGACCGAATGAAATGATCTGCTGATTGTTTACATTTTTCAAAGTAAAGAATGGTTGATTAACCCTTTGGGGATGGGTGATTCAGAAAAGCATTCGTTCAGTATCAGGATGTAATTAAATAAAAAACGGTAACTTAAATGTAGTTGTTGCTAATTTGACAGACTTACTTTGCTTTTACTTTAATTATTGTTAGTTTAATAATATATATAATCAATGTTTATTCAAAGTATAACTAAATAGTTTTATTTTGAACAAAGTAATGGTGAATTAAATAAATCAAACAATTATAACTCCGCCCACAAATAAACTGCTGAAGAACTACTTTGGTTACCAGTTTTATCTTTTTACCCTGGTTGATACGGTTTTATGCTGGCACGTATTTATGACAGTCGGCGCGAAAGGGTTCAAGGTCGTCGAATCAACAAAAAAAAAATTACAATTTGTTGTTAGAAATAAGTAGAACAGTTCTTATCCCTCCATCCCTAAAAGGGTTAAACCAATATTTGCTCCTAAACCTTTTCTCGATATTTTTAACACAATATCTAGATGAGTGTCCCGAAAATATTCTCCGGGCTGAAA